ATACACAAGATATAACGCAAGGTGTCAGAAAATGAGGGGCCTATATGAAGGATTCCACACGATTTCAAAGTATCACTTGTTCCTAAACATCACCAGAAGAAAACCAGCAATGGCAGGTATGTAAAAATAATAATGCACAATTATGCATGGCTACTAGTCTAAACTCCAATTAATTTGCGTTGATACAGACAATGTTTACAACAACAACAAAAAAAACTTCATAAACGTCTGGTTATTTCGAACTAAGAAAAAAAAATACAAATAATAGTATTGTAAAAGGGTTAATTTGGCAATGACACGTGAAAATCATGAATGATTTTTTTAAATTAAATTTTAACAATTGATTAAAATGTTATACGAGATTTCAACAGAATAAGATACCCGGTTTTAGGATTGTAGGCGATAGAAGTAAATTACAAAATTTTCGATTTATCATGCATTGACATAATTATAATAATTACCCCTGCATCATTTAGATGCCAGATGGGATTTTTTTTTTAGCTAATTGCAATTTCCTAACTTAAGTAATGAATATATCTATATTTATTACATGCATAGCACCCCATGAATTGAACATATTTTTATTGACAAAGTCAAGAGGATCAGACACAAGTTCTGTAACCTAGATAGTCCTCTCTTAATATAACATTATGTGAAATTGCCAAAGTAAAACAAACATATATACATATGGTCTACTACATACATTGTATACATTGTAGCAATAGAAAGGAATAAATTCTTTAAATATACAAAAATAATTTAAAATGGTGAGAAAAAACTTATTTGGAAAAACGACCACATTCATTTAAGAAAGTTTGAATAGTCTTAAAAAGTTCAGCATTTTGTTCGAAAGTTAAAGAATCATCGCCCCATAGTATTAAATGTACATCTATAATATGTAAATAATTTAATGACAATAGCTTATTCATTAAGGAATTTCTTGCTTTTACATAATGTTTACAAACAAAAAACAGATGATATGTATCTTCTAGTAGTCCACAAGAACAATTAGGACTGGTTATTAGGTTACAGCGATATAAATCAGACTTTAAAATACAATTGTGTCTTAATCTTGTATGAATTATGTTCAAAAACCTTTTTTCCATAAGAAAAATATTTCTGAGGTTTTACCCCAGCAGGCACACAACATTGAATAAACTTTGAATCAACGTTGTTCTTCTATGTTGATTCAACATTGATTTTATGTCAGATTTTGAAAATTTGTTTCAACGTTGAAGTCTGAACATTGAATCAACATTGATAATCAACGTTGATTAAATGTTGAAAAAAGGGCACACAACATTGAATAAACTTTGAATCAACGTTGTTTTCTATATTGATTCAATATTGATTTTATGTTAGATTTTGAAAATTTGTATCAACGTTGAAGTCTGAACATTGAATCAACATTGATAATCAACGTTGATTCAATATTGATTTTATGTTAGATTTTGAAAATTTGTATCAACGTTGAATTCTTAAAATTGAATCAACATTGATAATCAACGTTGATTGTATGTTGAAAAACAGTTGATTCAACATTTATTCAATTAATTATTTAAGAAAGGGGGGGGGGTGTCATATAGTAATAATATGGAATTATTAATCATATTGTACCATGTAAAGAAAAAACAAATCCCGTTCATACATTTAAATTGTTTTAATCTAACATAAAATCAATATTGAATCAACGTTGATTATCAATGTTGATTCAATGTTCAGACTTCAACGTTGATACAAATTTTCAAAATCTAACATAAAATCAATATTGAATCAATATAGAAAACAACGTTGATTCAAAGTTTATTCAATGTTGTGTGCCCTTTTTTCAACATTTAATCAACGTTGATTATCAATGTTGATTCAATGTTCAGACTTCAACGTTGAAACAAATTTTCAAAATCTAACATAAAATCAATGTTGAATCAACATAGAAGAACAACGTTGATTCAAAGTTTATTCAATGTTGTGTGCCTGCTGGGAATCTATTATCAAAATTTTCATGAAATATTTATTTTATCATTAAGAAGAGGCCCATGGGCTCAGATGAGCTACATTTAAAAATGAAAGTTCCATCATTAAGAGTCGGCATTATGTAATTTTCTACGGCCACCATCCTTTCTCCGGGGCCCATTGATTTAAGATAAATTGCCAAAGTTTCCACAACCTGGTTTTCCGTTGTATTGTACATGCTCATATCATGACTTCTACAAAAAAATGAAATATATAACCCCAAAAATAAATGAATTTCTATTAATTCATTACAGCAATTTAAATCCAATATGATCATCTAATTACCTTTGATCAATTTGAAGAAATTGGTAGATCCAAATGCATATTTTCTATCCCGAGATATTCATATAAGACATAACTTTGTTCGTCATACATCTGTGACTATTTAAACTTTCAAAATTAAAAAATGCAAGTTACATTCATAAATTAATTCATTTAAGATCCTCAAACTTACCGCATTAATTCGTTAATCTTCCCTTTTTAGATAGTCTCTGGATACACACGTGCTCCTCTGTTTACTCGAAGAGATATCAAATTAGTTCGTACAAAAAAATGATCGCATTATTAGATAAGACATTTGCTTACTGTTTCGATTACGCATTGTAAAAAAAAAAAAAAAAACATTGAGAATGTCTCCTAGCTTTGCATAATCTTGTACTTAAATCGTGTCATCGCGGTGAAACGTGTAATGCTGAATAATTGCACAAAATATTAAACTGGCGAAAAAAAAACAAGTCAGACAGGCACGGATCTAGTTAAACTTTTTTTTTTACTGGGTAGAAGGGTTCTGCACTTCACCCAAGTAAAATAAAAATCTAACCCAGACATGAACAAATTTGTTGACAAGCAAAATTTAAATAAATATAAGAGGCAGTATAATAGTAGTGGTAGGAATAGAAGAAATTTACTTTAATACGGGAGACTTTAAGTGACTCTTTGAGAGAATCTGTTTATATTGTTATCTGGTTAAACAATTTCTATCTCTCTGATTGACTGAGATCCAACTATGTTAGAAAAATATTACGCTGTATTGACCTGCACGTGACGTTCCAGGTCAATACAAGGATTTATTTCTACTACATTTATCTAAAAACAGATTTAGGAATTCCAAATTGACACATATTGTATTACATGTGTAGAAAGATATTTAAACGACTATGATTTTTATTTCCATGTGAACAAAACATAAGCTAATAAATATTTTAGGTGATGGTGGTAAGAGGGGATGCAGGGACCCCCCCCCCCTCCAACACTTTTACTGAACAACAATTTTTTTTTTACTTTTTAGCAGTCAGTTTTCCCTGATAATACTCCTTCCTTACAAAATCTATTCTACAAAAAAACTGACAATATTTCTTTCATGGCTACTAAAATTGATTTTTTAAAAAAAATTCAAAAAAAAATTGATACGGCTGTTAAGGGTTATTAACATTTTAATTCTGCTACTCTCTTGTATTTGGCTAGGACTTAATTAAATGCAAACAAGTAATGATCTGTATCATTTTATCAGTGAATCATATAATAAAACAATTATTGCTGGTTTTTGAGGTCAAAACAATGACTTAGCCATCTTCGAAGTACAATATTCACCTCGCCCTTCGAGCTCGGTGAATATTATTGTACTCCTCAGATGGCTAAATCATTGTTTTGACCTCAAAAACCAGCAATTATTGTATAATGTTTGCGTTTCATTTATTAAGTATAATTATTATATATATAATATTTTCTAGCAATGCAAACAGCTGTGTGCATATTGCCAAAAATCGCATGAATTAGAAGTTAAAGACACCTTTATATTTTGAACTTAAAACTAAAGTGCTCAATACTCGTTACCCGTTGTTTCAACGTATAGTTTGCCATCAGTATGGCATTAAAGTTGATTTGTATTAATACCAAATACCCACTTTCACACAATAAACTAAGGCCTTTAGCAACAGTTTCAATGGAAGAGCCCCCCTAAAAATACCTAACGAGCCACCGCCCCCCAAATAAAAAACACACCATAAAAATCTAACGTACGAACATTAACAAAAGAACCCAATCCCCCATAATGTCAAAATCCTGGAATTTGCCAGTTCAAGACATAACATCAGCAAAAAAAGGGGGGGGGAGACTAATTAAAAGCGTCTTCATGAAAATTTACTATAGCAAGATACTACACTTACACAATTGGGAATCCCCATTCCCTACGTTCTACAGACCTGAATCTAATATAGTTTTAGAACAGACTTCTCATCACAAACTAGCTTTCTAATACTAGTATTCATTTTTTTTCAACTTCTGTATTTAATGAAAACCACGAGTTAAATGCCAGTCACATTTATTTTCCTGTATTTATATGCATCCTTAAAAAAGAGGAAATACCAAGGCCAATTTTCAATCTTTACTAACTTTGATTAATAATATAGTTTACTTCTTATACCTGTTAATAATCTGATTTAATAATACATATGTAAATTTAAAAAATTCAAATGTTACACGTAGAACCTCTTTCTTCTGAATTTACCTACTTTTAATTAATCAACTGAATACTTTCGAATCAAAAAATTCGGGGTAGGGGGGGGGGGGCGCAATTTTTGTGGATCGCTTAATTTTACATGTTGTGGGGATGTAATTTTGTGTATTCTCTTTTACATCGAAAAGGAAATAAATAATTGTGTTATTGTGTGATCATAGTTTATTAATTGTGGAAAATGTTGATTCATGGCTGAGAGGTAGCCACAAAAACGAGCCACCACAAAATCTAATGTTTCCACAGAAGTCTGCTCGCTCCTTCATGGCACCTGATCCCACCTCTGTATTTTTAGGTCAGAGTTTGCTCTGCTCCAAATCTGTATTTCATTGGACTTTCTGGAGATTGAATGCTGCTGTTATCTTCATTCCAAATTCCTAATTCTTTTTCTTAGCTTGCAATAATATTCCTAATTCTTTTTCTTAGCTTGCAATAATATCATTTATGTGCTTGCTAATTTCTATGTATCACACACTTCTTTTCAAATAATGTTTTAATCAATATATAATGCAGAAACACAATAAATGATATAAAACATAATAAATACTGTCAAAATTACTTTTCACACAAATATTTACTTTATTCAGATTTCAGATGTATTAACATATTACTTAACATTTAAATAAATTGATTCTTCTTACTTTGGTGTTTAATATAGTTTCAAAAAATATTTTATCAATCTGAACAGTTGATTACTTCTGAGTATAAAGATTCTATCTGAATCTAGCATGAACCAGAACAAGAAATAAACTACATAGTGTATTTCAATTTGTAATGTTCAATACAAATCTCTTAATAAACTTATGATATAAACATGATATAAAGGGTGAATCTGAAATGTCTGAAATTTATTTCATGTACTGGATAACTTTCACTTCCCCTAAATTATACAACCCTACCCACAACCTCCCCTCACTGTCCACACTCAGTCCATTAGGATACTCTAGTCCACAATTATCCACACATCTCAGGAACTGTCCATTCTGATCTAGGATGTGTAGACAGTCATTTTGATAATCAACCACAATGATGTGACCCATGGAGTCTGTCACTATTTGACCAGGACAGAATGATTCCTTTCCCCCTGGAGGTTTGTTGTTGTATCTGAATCTGACTTTTCCTGTCCTGTCCACCACTACCACTGTGCTAGCATTACCATCAGAGGCCACTATGTCTCCATTGTTGTTCTCCACCACAAACACTCCATATTCTCCTCCTTGATAGATTGGATCCCCATGTTCATCTTTATCTATTTCCTGTGTCACTCTCTGTCCCTGATAACGGACTATTTTATAATGACTATTATCAGTAGTACACATACTAACTAGGATGTCCCCTGACCTGGTACAGCACAGTTGTAATGGAAGCCAGCCTCTTGGTGTGGTGATCAGTGTCTCTGTCTTCCCATCTCTGACAATGTTCACAGTTCTATTGTAAGCATCACTGTATATCAGTTCTCCCTGTCTGGTCACTGTAATGTCATCAGGGAATGGATTACATGTACTGGTGACAGTGTCTTGTACAGCTCCATGTATGTCCACACAGGTTATCATTTTGTCTCTACCACTAATCCAAGCTTTATCTGATCCTACACAGGCCACTTTAAGTAAGTTTTTAACATTTGTTGGAATGTTTGCAATCACTTTGGCTTCTTCTAATAATTCCTTAACAGATAAAAAGGAGACTTCATCTGTCAGACTGGATAGTGATGTCTGTGTCAGTGTAGCCTTGTATTCTCCTAATTCTATGCTGAGTTCTCTCCCTTGGACTGTGTTTGTTTGAAGAGAGGGCAATGGTAAATCAGGTATTTGTGGAATGTTCCTGTATTCCTTTAGTTTAGTTTGGTATTTGTTGACATCAGACACTTTGTTGGACTTCAGGATTTCTTTGTTTTCTTGAACAGTTTGGATCATACTGGAATTCTGACTTCTGAGTTTGGACTGGCATGATTTTAGAGTTGTAATATGATGATCTCTGAGTGACTGGATCAGGGATTCCATTTTGTTAAAGATGTTGTCCACCTCTAGGTGCCATTGTTTTCTATTATCATAGGTCGTTTTCTGTAAATCTGTATAATGAGCCATGGATTTTAAAATTTTGTTTTCGATGCCTTTGTCTTGTGCTGTGTTCTTGGAAATAATGCCCTCAATTTCTTCTGTTTCTCTTTTTATTTTTTCTCTTTTTCTTGATATGATGTCTGCCATGTCCACAATGTCATGACTTTTATGTTTAGAACTAGTGATACATTTGATGCAGACCGGGACATCACACTGTTGACAGTGGGCCTCACATCTCTGGTGGGAATGAGATGTACACTGAGGGAACACAAGCTGTACTGTACGCTTTGTGAAAGGAACAATGTCATGCTTCATGGACTTGAGGCTCTTGACATGTTTGTTGATGCAGTCTTCACACAGACCGACTTGGCAGCTGTTACAGAATTGCTGGACAGGTTTGGCACAAAGGTCACAGGTTATGAGTTCCTGTGCCTGGCTGGTGGCAGTGGCCATGCTAATTTTTTGTAGCCTCTAAAAAATAAATTGAAAATTTAATGTTTTATGTCACATGCAGCTCATTTTAGTTTGAGGGCAAACAAACCGCTCTGTAAGAAAATTTCAGTTGAGATAAGGCAAGACAAACAAAAATTAGATATTATTTTCTTAATAAGAATTTTTTTTAAACAAGTCACCATTAATTATGTGATGGTAAATATTTGATAAATATTTGTAAGCAAAGGGCAGATCTAGTAATTTTTAAAAGAGTGGGGGAGGGGAGGGGTGATGTCTCCACCTGGAAGCTACGGGGACGTCATTTTAAACCTTTCTCCTCATTCATTAAGATATCTCCATAATATAAGAAGAGACTGATTCTGTAATGCATATCCCCTTTCATGACTATATTTATTCAATCTACTTCTTACAGCTAGTTACTTCAGAAGATGGTCCAAAATAACATAGCTAAATTATGTTCCTTGCAGTCTTCAGCTGATATCCAAGTGAAACCTTGCATTACCTGTGGGTGGTCGGGTCCGGGGCCAGGGTTCTGAAGGTATGCGGAGGAAAGCAAATTATACGTATGCAGAAATTTTGTCTAGCGAATAGAAAGGACAGAGAATGAACTACAGGTATTTATTTTATTCAAAATATTAGACAAATATATATTTTTATATGTAATAAAGAAAAAAATATTCTCTGCAAGATCGAATGACTAGGGGAGGGGGACTGCAACGTGGAGCCCCTCTCTGGATCCGCCAATATTGCCAAAAGTACACCCCGATCGGCCACTATCGACCTGTAATATTTAACGATTTCATTTTTTTCTTTGGTTTGTAATAAATTTATCTATAGTTTGAAGATATTCCATTTCCTCAGATAACAGATAGATTCCATACTGACATACATTTTATATATATTAAACAATCAACAATGACTTAGAAAGTTTTGTTTTCATACACACCTGATCTGGCTACTTCGTGTCAATCTATTCTTCATGAAATGTTCAATATTCACCCGAAATCTTCGTACAACTTTCGGTTTGATTTTATTCTTCCTGGTAGGTTGTTGTCACGTGACAGGTGTTTACCACCTTTTCAGAGGTATTAGGGGTGGAGCCTCTTGTGTCAATTTTAATACATTTACCCATTTTATCTTTCAATCATTTTAGAAACTGAATACAACTGGGTTGCTTGTAGAGATCTCCATCAGTGATAAAAAGTGTCTGTCAGAATTAATTACTGAGTCTAGATACCGGTATGTCCCAAAAATTTTATTGCAGATGTGTGTGTATGTGTCGCAGATCACTTTGGCAAATTATCAACAATTAAAAAGTATATTTCACATTGCTGTAAAAGCTGCAAAAGCTTCTGTACATGTGTAAACCACAAAAAGAAGATACAATTAAATGACAACTGAAAATGAAATTTAGCACAAAAAAAGATAACATGACTTTCTGTTAACAACAAATGAGGGGACAAATTTTCTTCTGTACACTAATTTATATATTTTTTTTATCTTTCCCCAGAAGTTTAGGTAATCTAGCTCTTAGCAATTTTAACATTTTGCCCTTCAGATATTTGATACCTATACCAATAAAATCTGTCAAGACCTCTTGGTTTACTGCTAGAAGTGTGAATCAGACTTTCCATTGCACTTAGCATCTGTTATACCTCATAACAAAATTTAAATCAAAAGCACAGGCTACATGCCCTTCATTTGTTTCTCGTATCTACAATGTATAGGTCATTTCGGTTCTCTTTTTGTTGTTTCTCTATCATGTTGTTTGTTTCTCATTCTTTTTAGAGCAATAAAATAAAATAAAAGCAGTTAATATTCTAATAACATCAGTTCATTTACTGAATCTATTAACTAATTATTTTTTATTTTTCTAATATGTTTTTGTGTGCAGTAGATTATATTGGGATAATATTTTTGAGTAAATAATGACATCACGGCACATTTCCAACATCGGACAGTGTCTTCGACAGCAATCAGATATTTCAGATGGTAATAGGTGTTTTGTAATGAGGCCGATATTCATTAATTGAAACCTTTATTTACATATCAGTTTTTTTTACATATATCGATCTGTATATAATATCACCAAAAGATAATAATTTTGATGCTATTCTGTTGCAGTCATGCAGTCTCTGTTATCTTTAAAAATTAAATAATCAGCAAAGCTGTACCCTTTGAAATCATTATGTTTTGTTTTAAGTTTCTTGTTTCTTTGTTTCTGATTTGGTATTTTATAGACTTTATAAACAAATGTCATCAGATACTGTCAAATTGTCATCACAAAATCAGGTTGGGAGATATCACTCAACTTCAATAGATTTTTTTTAATTGTTGGTAATGTACTCTAACACATTCTCACGGGGTATCAGAAAATGAGATGACAGATCTAATAGGCACGTGCTAAATTTACGACAAGCACTATGCTCCACCTCCTGCATCATCTTACACAAGAGACTCCACCCCTTGCACTCTCTGACCCTCCATTTTGGAGTTTTGTGGAGACTCCATCCTCCGCATTTTACACCAAGCCTATTTCTTCTTCCTGGTAGCTTGTTGTCACGTGACATGTGTTTACCAAGTACACTTAGCTACCTTTTCTGTTCAGAGTTCAGAGCCAACTTTCTCTCAATCTCAACTATTTTCAGTACCTATTTTTATACTACAATTTCTGAACTTTACTAAAACTGGGGGGCCAACCAGTGTTTTAATTAACATTTCTTATAGTATAAGTAAGTTTGGCGAAAAAAGTGGGGAAGAGGCAGCCCCAACCCCCCTGTTGCTACGTCCCTGACATGCATATTTATAAACCAAGACCCAAGTACCTGTGGTATGCACGGTAAAAGGTCACCCGCGCGCTAGGGTTTGGAAAAAAAGGGCACGAACTTTGAATAAAAACCAAACAAATCAACATCTGTTTTTTAAAGTTTCTATACTGGTTTAGTTTTACTTATGTTTCAGTAGCTATAAGAACTGCACTCTGCATGTCTGAATAGACGTCCTCTGTAAGGTATATTTGTACTGGGTTTAATGGATAATTTAATGAATGTATCATTTAAAGGTGCAGGTTTAGTGTATATGATCTATATATTAAAGCTTATCTGATAGTACTGAATACCATTACTGAAAGTGTTTTATTAAATTTCATGTTTATGAGTTCATATTCATTTGTTTGACAATTTGGGTTGTCTAATCCCCTCCACCCCCACTCCCTCGTAGTTTTGAATTAATTTCAGTCAGCCTTATACAATTTTTTTTGCATGAGAAACGTATACCGATATACTCCAGCCCATAAGTACGTGTGAATGTCCAATAAATATATGACGAGTGTGTCAAAACTTTTCCTATAAATTCTGCTTTAAAAAATCCCGGCTTCGGTAATAACTTAGTTTGTTTGAATCCATGTAAACAATCAGGCAGAGATGTCAAAGCAGAAAAACATTACATCCAACTAAGTTCCAATATTCTTTTTCCATCTGTGAAATTATGTCTAAGAAACTTCTTCGTTCATCAAAAACCAATAAACAGAATTTTGTATCTTAGTGTATAGTCTACTTATGTTAAAGTTATACTGAAATCATATCTATATCTTAGTGTGTAGTCTACTTATGTTAAAGTTATACTGAAATCAAACCAAAACTGTATGAGAAGTAGCATTTTGAAAATATTTCAAAGAAATCTCTATTTTTAGATAACTATAGCAACACCGTTCATCGAAATCGAAAATTGATAAACATAATAATGTATCTTAGTGCAGTCTACTTAAACAATAAAATGCTTTCTATTGAAATTGTTGTTACCTGGAATGAAGGAAGTAGGATTTGCAAAAAAATGCATAACCCGCGTAAGCGGGTTATGTATAATTTTTTCTGCAATAGCTAACGACCGTTCATTCCAGTAATATCAAAAAAAAAGACATTTTATTGTTTATATTTATATCTATTTAAATAATCATTTAAAGTAGGATTGAAAAGATTAATTATTGTATTAATGATGCGAACGTCTTTATACGTTTCATTGATTGAACTGCCACTGATCAAGAAATTTTTTAACATGCCGACTGTAGTTCATGCAGTGATAACCGCAATGGGTTTTCTTAAGAAATAAAGGAGAAAATAATCTTAATGTATGATTGAAATCAGACCAAAACTGTAAGAGTAGTATCAGACCTCAACTGAAGGAGTAAGATTTAGAAAAATTTAAAGATTTATGAACGGAAGACGAACACCTTGCTATGGCACAAGTTCTTATGGTCTTTAACAAGTATAGTTAACAAGAGGCCCAGGGGCCACATCACTCACCTGAGCACACCGGCTAGAAAAAAAAGCACAAATCAGATCAGAACTGAATAGTTTACCGAGGTGGGGTGGGGATTGGGCTTTGAATTTTAATACTGCTTGAGAATTCCTTCATATCAATACAGCATATGACTTTGCTGTTCTTGTTAAAATGATTTTTAAAAATCATTTTGTTCCTGTTTATTAATTACTTCCTAATACCTGTAATTTTGAATTTGATTCCCCATTGTTTAATTCCAAAGGGCCATGATTTAAACAAATTTGAATCTTCAATACATGAGGATGCTTACATGTCAGTATGACTAAACATAACTTTTCTGTTCTTGGGATTTTTCCCTTTATTTTTCTATATATAAAACTTTGATCCACCCATTTGGCCCCACCCTACCCTTGGGGGTTAGGATTTGAACAAATTAAATTCTACACTACCTGAAAATACTTCTATTTAAATACTAGTAACACTAATCATGGCTTTGATATTCTTGAGATTTTTTTTATATATTGTAATGTAAAATTTGGATCCCCCATTGTGGTCCAAACCTATTCCTGGGTGTTTGATCTAAACAAAACTAGAAATCTACACTACCAGAGGATGTTTCCATATAAATATCACTAATCATGGCTTTGAGTACTTGAGAAGAAGATTGATTTTAAAAGATTTCCCTATATATTGCCATGTAATTAGTAGTAGTATTTTGAAAAATGGTTTACAGACAGACAGACGGACGACGGATACCTCACTATCGCATAAGCTCTTCTGGTCTCTGATCAGTAGAGCTAAAAATTAATTCAAATGCCATAAATAGCAACAAATTTTATTCAGATAAAGAAATAAATAAACAACAATATGGATTATGTCTGCACAGTTTCCTCGAGGACTTGTATTGTTCCAGACACTGTCATGTCACCTTCTGTACCTATATCATTGTCCGTGACAATGTCACCATCTGTTGTAATGTCGCCCTCTGTAACAATATCATTTTCTGTGACTATGTCACCATCTGTTGTCATGTGGCCCTCTGTACCAATATCACTGTCCGTGACTATGTCACCTCCTGTCACACTCTGTAGGATTTCTTTCTCTTCATAGGTTGAATCAGTCTCTAACACCACAGACTCAACATTGCCCTCGGGCTCCAGCTTCGGGTCACACATGTCCTCGGGGTGTTCCAGATTGGTCAGAGTCTCGGTAGATTGGTGGTTTATGTCTGACGGGGTGCAGACCTGGTCTGATGGAGTTTCCGCTCCTGTCTGATCCACCCCTAGCGTTGTCAGCGGCTGATCAGTTGTCTCAGTCATACTGTCCCTTTGTTGTTGTTGCTGCTGTGCTGCTAATTGCTGAAGGTTATAAAAGGACTCAGTCATCAAAAATCTAATCAAGTTTACCCACAATGAACAGATATACAATATACATGAATCAAAAACTATTTATATTAAAGTATTTGTGCACCATGATTTTCATTCATCAAATTTCAGAAAATTGTGTCTCTTTTTTTGGCAAACATTTGTTTTAACATGGTGTATTTATTGACACTTTAGTTGTAAGCTGTATTTGTGTAATGTATACCTGTAGAGCCTCGAGTTGAGCTGGGTCGGTGATGACAAACACCTGTTGTTGACCATGTTCCCCCATTGTGATGGTGGCTATGTTAGCACTGGCCGGCACCTGGTCATTGGGTAATAGAGATTCCTGGAATTCACAATAAAGGAAACTGAAAATAACTTGTCCTTCATAAATCACCATTGTTTTACAGAAAATAGGTATTCTAAATTATTTACACTTAAAAATGAATCCGACCTTTTGAGCAGATGCCATTTTTCTGATATTTTGCATTTCTAACTTTAATCCTCCATGTTCAATGATAATGCCCCATGATATACTACCTGTGTTGATACCTACTACAGTAAAACTCAGTTATAAAGAAGTCATTGGGACCTGTGAAACTACTTCACTAAATCTGTTATATCCATATAAGGAAATCATTATATTTATATAGCTGGGGATCCACTTGAAGATAACTCGGATAACTATATCCATTAATTCTCAATATCCATTTTGTACTAAACAAGTTTAACTGTACCTGTGTATTCTGTGTCTCCGTGTTAATAACAACAGCCTCATTCTGAATCAGGGTTTCCCCATCTTCCTCCTTTGCCTCTATGCTGTACTCAAACTTCGCCCTCTTTTCTGGCGGTTGTTCCCCATTTTTTGCTGTAAACAGGAGATAAAAAGTTTAATATTTTGTTTATGGGTTCTTCAAAAGAGATCCCTTTCACCAACATTTTTACTTCTCACAAATGCAGATGTTTTTCCAGGAATCCAAGAACTTTTACATGTTAGGGGTAGTCAAGACTTATCTTTATAAGCTTTAAAATTTTTTTTCTTCTGTATTGATCATGTTGATGTGGATTAGACCACAAACCTACATAAAGTATCTACTGATCTTGAAACAAACTTGAAAAGCATTTGTAACTTTTTCATTGCATAACATATCAGTAAATTGTAATTTTTATGTAAATTAAATAACCGTGTTTTCTGACTCACAGAAGATCTGTTCGTTGTAGACCTGGGCCTCGTACTCCGCTGTGGTATCTTCTCCGTGAGCCGTCCGTTTGTGCATGGCCAGCGTGGACGTCTGTCTGTACGTCTTACCGCAGTGGTTACAGTGGTAGGGTTTGGAGTGGGTGTGAACCACGTGGTGTTTATAGAGGGAGGAGTACTCTGTAAACCGCTTACCACAGCCGTGTACCGTACATACATAGGGCTTCTCTCCTGTACAGAAAAAACATTACATTATATAGAGAGAAGAGTACTCTGTAAACCGCTTACCACAACCGTGAACCGTACAGACGTAAGGCTTCTCTCCTGTACAGAAAAAAACATTACATTATATAGAGAGAGGAGTACTCTGTAAACCGCTTACCACAACCGTGAACCGTACAGACGTAAGGCTTCTCTCCTGTACAGAAAAAACATTACATTATATAGAGAGAGGAGTACTCTGTAAACCGCTTACCACAACCGTGAACCGTACAGACGTAAGGCTTCTCTCCTGTACAGAAAAAAACATTACATTATATAGAGAGAGGAGTACTCTGTAAACCGCTTACCACAGCCGTGTGCTGTACAGACATAGAGCTTCTCTCCTGTATAAAAAAAAACATTACATTATATAGAGAGAGGAGTACTCTGTAAACCGCTTACCACAGCCGTGTACTGTACAGACATAGGGCTTCTCTCCTGTACAGAAAATCAAAACATTACCATCATATAGAGAAATTAGTTAATTTCACTGGTATCAAGCAATTTCTTTGGCTGAATCTTTCCGAGGAACATATAATATTTTGTATAACATAACTTGCCTACGTCACAATGAGTTACGTATTACTGCGCTTGACGTTTTTTTTAAAATACATGTATGATCAATTTGAAGCCTTTTTTTGGAGGAAATATTATCTCATTGTCTACACTGAAATTAAATTATAAGGAATGAAGCTTATTTCAACTTATGTTAACTGATATAACAAAACTTGGGGCAGTTTACCCTTTCTTATAAACAGCTTTGCAGTTTATAAAGCGTAAACTGCCCCAAGTTATGTTATATGATAACATAAGTTGAAATAAGCTTCATTCCTTAAATAACAAATCAAATAAATATACCGTACAGACTTACAGCTTTAGACTCTCCTGTGAGAAACAAAACGTTTTTAAAATTGTACCGAGATACTTTTGCCCCCCGTTATTTAAGCCCTTTCACACTTGCAGCCAATTTTGTCTGGTTTTAAATTCACCCAGTCATTGATTTAAATAAGAAATTATACAGTATACTTTGAATTTGCCCCATTTTAAATTAGCCCAAATAAGAGTATAAAGTTTTATTGTTCAAACATGTATAAATCAGGGTTCGACATTAACGTTAGTCCGTTAGTCTCAGACTAATACTTTTTCATTCGGACTAATAAAATTTGTAGCTTATAAGTCCGAACGGACTAATCAAGTTTTCTGGGGGGGTGAAAAAAGAATTTACCGACGTTCAAATTCTCGACAACTTTCACTGGAAAACCCCGCATTTATAATTTACTTTCTAACTTCTTGGCGGGAAGTTAGGTAATACTGAGTCAATTCGGCGCTTAATTTTAGGACTCATTGGTATGAAATTAAACATTTTAGCGATCATGATTTTGTATCACACATAAAGAAAGATGTCTGATGTTTGGATGATGTAATCATGTACAGAGGAAAACAAATGAGATCGGGAATACGATCGTAGTTCCTCATTGTGCGATTTCAACGAATTCTTGGTATAAACATTTCATGTAATGCTTTGTTTATTTCAAAAAGTATTAAAAAATACATTGCAACATAAATTCTATTTATTTATATATATTTTTGACGGACTCATAAAATTGCCCGTGGACTAGTAAAAGTAGAGAAGCACTAGTCCGGCCGGACCAAGGCCTAAAAATGTTAGTGTCGAACCCTGATAAATGACATTTTCTTGAATATACATGCATAAAAGATAAGTATTTAGGCTACAAAATATTAATCAATAGTTTCTCGGGCCAGAAATTTTAAATTCCATGTGACAGGTAGGCTTTTTTTTTTTCAAAGCAGGTAGATCTTTTTTTTTTCATATCAGTTGTTCAACAAAATGATGATACCATATATCTGTTTTTGTTTTTTTTTTTGTTTGTTTGTTTGTTTTTTTTTTCTTCGTGTGATGGAAATTATGCGAAAAAGAGGTAGATTAGTATAGTTTTTATTTTGCGCAAGTTATTTTTTATGATTGAAGATTTTTTTGGTTTAAAATGGTTATGTTTTTATGTCACATTATAGCTGACATAATTTCTGCATGTTTTATATTTTGCGAATTTAAAAAGGTCGCAAAAATGCGAAAATTAGACATTGCGAAAAAAGCCGGATATACGGTATTAATTGATTCTTGCTTTCCTGTTCTCTTTTAATTTATAATGTACTCAACTTTATTTTATGTTATTCCACACATTCTTTTAAAAGTCAAATAGACCTGAAGAATTATGAATATTGTTTATCTAATGAAAAAAAATTGTCTATTAATTTTTATACATGTATATAGGGAAATATCTCATTTTTCTTTTTCAACTTAGATTGTGTGGTGTTCTTTTCATTTTCAAAATGTCAACGTGGCATTTTGACCAAATGCGGCATTGATACTGAAATTTTTTTTAGCCTTGTTTACACAAAAGATTTTCATAACATTCACAAAACCACCATGACTATAATAACAAAATATCTACACATGGCTACAATATTTATTCGTAAAGGTTGTTACTAGTAAGCTTCTGAAAATTTTTGATACAAGGAAACTGCAAACCAGTCACATCAGAATACTGTAAACCTATGATGCCTGAATACTGAAAACTTATCCTACCTACTGTAAATCACTTTCTATTTGCGAAAACTTTATTTTCGCGTAATTATGCAAGACAGTGTACTCGCGAAAATTTAATTATTGCATGAAATAGCATTCCTTAACAGGGGTAGAAACACCCTAAAATTACAACTCACAAATAATTGCGAGTTCCAAAAATATGAACTCGCAATTTCAAAAGACAACTCGCAATTTTAAAATGAAAGCTTTCTAGAAATAAGTCACAATCCATTTAAAAAAATAATTCAAAATTTTCTACATGAAGTTTAAAAAAAAATTATGCTTGTTTCCTGTAACATTCCCCAAAAATCATTGTTCAGAAGGTCAAGATTTTTTTCCAAACATCCCCGGACTTGATAAAGCAGGTGTTATATTTACAGTGGACACCTAACATGGCAACCAACATGACTGCCTAGCTGCAAAAAAACAAACTTCAAAAGTTGGGGGGGGGGGGAATTGTAGTTACAATAATTCATTATGATTATTCTTTATATTTAAGGTAAATGTTAACTAGGTTGACATGTATGTCTCAAGTTAAGCTACAATTAATATTTTTTTGAATAAATGGATTCCGAATCAGCTGATTGATCAAACCACGCAGATTGGGAGAAAAAAATCCACCTGGAGGTAATTTGAATAGATCGGTCGTTTTTTTAGGCCTGGTTGTTGGACATGGGTTTAAAAATGGGGATGTCAGATAAATTTTTCCCTTGGTGAAATTTACAGTGAAAAAAATCAACTCGCAAAAATTTGCGAGTTACAAATTTTTTAACTCGCAATTTGGAAATTCTAACATTTTGCGAGTTGTATATAGTGAATTTCGAAGATTATATAGAGCAATATAACCACAATTCCTGTAAATTTTGTCTTGCTAAGCAAGAGTCAATGACTATCTTGTGAAAAATAAGGTGTAGTGAAAATTAACTGATCTACAGTATATATTCAGAACCTGTTACACTAGATATTGTAAATCTTTTAACACCTGGATATTTTATCTACCTGTGTAGATTCTTATGCGATTCTTTCAGAGTACATACCTGTGTGGATCCTGATGTGATTTTTATAGTTGGTGGCACTGGCGAATGCTCGGCCACACCCTTCCTCATTACAGATGTACGGACGTTCGCCGGTATGAGTTCGGATGTGAACCTTTCTGATGTTGGACGTCGTAAAAGATCGCTCACAACCCTCAAATGGACACTTAAAGGGACGCTCTCCTGAAAAAAATTAATACGTATGCTCATAAACTGAGACTCAACGTCTTAAAAAAGTTAACATGCTAGCATAAACAAATTTCCTTCAAAATCTAAAGGACAAATTTTACAATCATTTTTCAGAATCCCTTCCAAGACTTCTATAAACTTCAATATTTCCAAAACAGATTTACATGAACATAACGAGTATATACAAATCTCTTTATTAATTCATCAGAATGTGAAATAGATGTCTCCGTGAGCATTTTTAGGTCACCTGAGTCACTCAGGTGACCTATTGCTATCTGTTTTTGTCCGTCGTCGTCCGTCGTACGTCGTTCGTCGTTCGTCGTCAATCGGTCGTAAACTTTTGAACATTTTCAGCTTCTTCTCTGCAACCACTGAACCAATTTCAACCAAATTTGGCACAAAGCATCTATGGGTGAAGGGGAACAAAAATTGTGAATTTCATGATCCCTGCCCCCCTGGGGCCTGGGGGGTAGGGCAAAAACCACTAAAATTAGTGAAATCTTTAAAAATCTTCTTCTTAACTCCTGGACATCAAGCAGTCAAACTGTTTGCATGATTGTAATCAGCATTGAGTCCTTTACCAAAATTGTGAAATTCATGGCCCTGGGGTCAGGGGTTCTTGTACTAGGGCGGGGCTAAATAAGTATATAGTGAAAATGCATTATTTCTTTGAAAATCTTCTTCTCTGCTCCTGGGTATTAAATAAACTAACTAAGTACATAGTTATGATGAGCAAGAGTGCCTCTACCAAAATTGTGAATTTTATGGCCCCAGGGTCAGGGGTTCTGGTGTCAGGGCGGGGCTCTATTGATTATATAGAGGAAATACATGAATTCTTTGAAAATCTTCTTCTTTACTCCTGGGTATTAAATAAACTAACTAAGTATATAGTTATGATGAGCAAGAGTGCCTCTACCAAAATTGTGAATTTTATGGCCCCAGGGTCAGGGGTTCTGGTGTTAGGGCGGGGCTCTATTGATTATGTAGTGAAAATACATGAATTCTTTGAAAATCTTCTTCTCTGCTCCTAGATTTTATATAATTTAACTAAGTACATAGTTATGATGAGCAAGAGTGCCTCTACCAAAATTGTGAATTTTATGGCCCCAGGGTCAGGGGTTCTGGTGTTAGGGCGGGGCTCTATTGATTATATAGTGAAAATACATGAATTCTTTGAAAATCTTCTTCTCTGCCCCTAGGTTTTATATAAACTAACTAAGTACATAGTTATGATGAGCAAGAGTGCCACTACCAAAATTGTGAATTTTATGACCCCAGGGTCAGGGGTTCTGGTGTCAGGGTGGGGCTCTATTGATTATATAGAGGAAATACATGAATTCTTTGAAAATCTTCTTCTTTACTCCTGGGTATTAAATAAACTAACTAAGTACATAGTTATGATATGAACAAGAGTGCCTCTGCCAAAATTGTGAATTTTATGGCCCCAGGGTCAGGGATTCTGGTGTTAGGGCGGGGCTGTATTGATTATACATGTATAGTGAAAAAACATTAAATCTTTGAATATTTTCATCTTTGCTCCTAGGTTTTAAGCAGATGAATTACCTATATAGTTATGAGCAATCCCTAATCTTCAAGAATTGTAAATTTCAAGGCCCCAGGGTCAGTTGTACCATAGTGGGGGGGGGGGGGGCTGTACTTATGTACTGAAAATGAATGAATTGTTTGAAATGTGCTACTTGGTATTAATCAAATATTTTTGAAAAGCAAGTATGCCTTCCCAAAAATAGTGCAATGTGTGGATCTAGGCCTAAGAGTCAAGGGTTCATGTGTGGTAGCGGCACTACTGATTATTGCTGAATATTACTGATTAGTTGAAATGCATATTTTGTTCCCCTACCCTGCCTATGGGTATAAAGTAACCAAACTAAGGAACTGCTAAGTGTATAGTTATGATGACCAGATTGTAAATGCTATAGCATCTGGCTTAAAACATGGATTAAATTCAGTCACTGGGCGCATTAATTCATCAGAAAGTTGTTGAATAATGCTCAGGTGACCTATAAGGCCCAGGGGCCTCTTGTATTTTTGTATAATTATATTTATTTTCAGGAATAAGAAGTACCTTTCTGCACATGATTCACATAAATCTTACACACCCTCTGTCATGCCTATGTGAATACTGTCAATAGCCTGACAGGTATCACTTAAATCTCTTATTTCTTGTGTGGGCAAGAACATGTTTTTGTATATCATACCTGTGTGAGTACGGACATGTTTCTGTATATCATACCTGTGTGGGTACGAACATGTTTCTGTATAACATACCTGTGCGAGTACAGACATGTTTCTGTAGGTCCCCCGATGTCTTGACCCCTTGTCACACCCCTCCTACATACCTGTGTGGGTACGGACATTTTTCTGTATATCATACCTGCAGTCTTCACGAAAACTCACTGGTCCGAAGACCGAGGCCAGTGAATTTTGAGGTCGGGTCAGTGAAAATCAAAATTCAAGAAGTCCGATGGGCTCGTTGATCATAAAAATCATACAGTCAAAATTTATTTCAACTGACTTACTTGTGTAAATTTCATTAATATATAAAATAAAAAGAAGAAGCTCGTGTTGTTGAATCCTATTATTATAACCCTATTATAACATGGATGTATTACGTAACAACCGGAAGTAGCTAGTAATTATTAACTAGTACGTAAAATGTGCAAAGTTCCAACGAACAACTTACCGAAACGCGACAAAGGGCGGCATTTCAAAAGTTGAAGTACGTAAACATGTATAAATTTACAGTTATGAAAATGTATTTATTTTCTTTTTTTATGAAAGGGACCAGTAAAAATTTTGGTGGGCTAGTATATTTTGAAAGTTCACTGGTCCGACTGGCCAGTTAGTTTGAAAAGTTTTCGTGAAGACTGTACCTGTGTGAGTAGGGGCGTGTTTCTGTAGATTCCCCGATGTTTTGAACCCCTTGTCACACCCCTCCTACATACCTGTGTGGGTACGGACATGTTTCTGTAGGTCCCTCGATGTTTTGAACCCCTTGTCACACCCCTCCTACATACCTGTGTGGGTACGGACATTTTTCTGTATATCATACCTGTGTGAGTACGGACGTGTTTCTGTAGATTCCCTATGTCTTGAACCCCTTGTCACACCCCTCCTACATACCTGTGTGGGTACGGACATGTTTCTGTAGATCCCCCGATGTTTTGAACCCCTTGTCACACCCCTCCTACATACCTGTGTGGGTACGGACATGTTTCTGTAGGTCCCCCGATGTTTTGAACCCCTTGTCACACCCCTCCTCTGGACATTTGTAGGGTTTTTCCCCGGTATGAACACGTGTGTGAGATTTCAGTCCGTACCCGGTAGCGAAGGCTTTACCACATCCCTCGTAATCACATTTAAACGGACGGACTCCAGTGTGAGATCGTTCATGAACCTACAAAAGAGTTCCAATTATCTGCCTTGCATCTTAAATTATTACTAAGGTTTCAACATTTGAATCAAACATTTTTTTATAAAGCTAAATTTAGAATACATTTCTCTGTATGGACACCAAATAATAAGTTAGAGAGTCATCATCTTTTAGTACTTAATTTAAGATGGTATATATATTGGTATATAAGCTGTTTGTTGGTAAATATTAGGGATGGCAATCCATTGCAGAATTGCTAATCGGTTAACCGCAAGACGTTCCGACCGATTAACCGGTTAGTCGTATCAAGATATACATTTTGACATTTTTTTCAAATATACAAGAAGGCTATAAAATGCATTATAAGTTATTTTCTGTTTATCAATCTTGATCGGGGAATTTAATTTCTAAAATTCAATTTTATTTAATTTCAATAGATGAGAAAAAAATTACGAAAACTAAAAATTGTGCCTGAAAAATCAAACGTGGATAATTTTCTAAGAATTAAAGAAGTTCATTCTGCATTGTCACCATAATTAAAACTTTGTCTGAACTCGAACTTTGTTCTGTCTAATTGTTTAATCCATGGTTTAATTTAAAAGATAATGGTAAAATATAGACATACTAATTAAAAGGGTTAACGGTAATGTTTTTAAAATTATTGAACATCACAGGACAGTCGGGGTAACAGGTATGATTCTAAAAACAGTAATTAACAATTTACAAACTGACCAATTGCCCCGCAATTTCCTTCTGGAGAGCTATAATTACGTAATTACCTCCAAATCATCTTTATTATAATATGTGTATAAACATTGAATGACATTTTATGCAGCAGTTTCTTTTCAACAAAATGAATTTGATAAAAACTGTGTTCAATTTACATATATTTTATTTTTTCTGACTAACAGATTACGGTTTTTCTAACTGATTAGCATCATTCCGACCGATTATTCGATTAACCGGTTACGAATTGCCATCCCTAGTAAATATACTATACATCTACTCATTTTAAAATGGTGCTGTATGGTGTGTGCAAATATACTCTCTTTGTGGTGTAAATCTACTCACTTTGAGGTGGTGCTGTGTGGTGTACACATTAACATGTTTAAATCTACTCACTTTGAGGTGGTGTTGTGTGGTGTACAGCCTGCCACAGCCATCAAAGCTACAGCGATACGCTTTTTCACCAAACACCATCGTCTTCTCATCAGGTGCTAACCCAGCAGCTATCACAGTCTACAACATTAGGATTACAAGGTCTCATTGTGGTTAAACAGATACAAGTGTGTGAGGAACATTTATTCCAACCTTTGCTTCAAATTTTAGTTAAATAGATATTTGTGCTACTAACATCTACTCAAACCTTACTTCACTGTAAATACATGTACAAGAGATAGATGAACTGAAGAGACATTTTGGAGGGATGACACACATGCACACAGCAAGAGAACTTTACATTTTTAATTCATTATAAAGTAATTATTTTCAAGAGAAAAGTTGTAAACTTTTTTTTATTTTGACTAAATTTGGTCCTTGAGAACTTGTAGACTTGTTAGCTAGGACATCCTGACATGTACAACAGAAGCATTGTGTAGGATATACTTACATGTACAACAGAAGCACTGGGTCCTAGAGGACTTGTTGATGTCTGTAGAGATTCTAATCCAGGTTCTTTTATCTGATCTACCGTAACCTGAAATATTCCTTGTAAAGTTACTGAAGATCATAACTATATGCAGTATTGACAAAAGGCCCATGTGCCACATCACTCACCTTTGGCCATGCTATTCTTTGCCAGATCTCCCCTTTGTAATACCCATTGTGGCCCTGTCCAACACCCAGGGGTATAATTTGGAGAATTTAGAATCTACACTCCCCCAGAATGCTTCCACATCAGTTTGAGACCACAGGGGTGGTCTCAAAAGTTCAGGCAAAATCGTAGGCAACCCAGGGAAAATGCAAAAAGTTGATGCAGGTAAGTATAGATATTGATGTAAACAGTTTGAGCTTTTCTGGTACAGTGGTTCTTGAGCAAAAGATTTTTTAAAGATTTGTCCTATATATTTCAATGTAAAACTTGGATTCCTTATTGTGGCCCCACCCTACCTGGGGTCATTATTTTAACAATTTAGAATGTACACTACCCTAATATGGTTCCACATAAGTTTCAGCTTTTCTGGTCCAGAGGTTCTTGAGATTTTTTAATTACCACACCATATTTTTGTCTTTTCTCAATTATCTCCTCTTGTAAGAGAACTTGGTCTTTCATTTAAATAATTTAAACTCCCCTTCAGCAAAGTGGTTGATTAAAATTTGGCAAGTGGTTCTTGAGAAGAACAGTTTACTGATGATCGTGCAGACAATGGACAAGGGTGATCAGAAAAGCTGACTTGAGCTTTCAGCCCAGGTGAGGTAATGCAAACAAAGCCTTAAACTACATATAAAAAGTAATTTTTTATTTTTATTCAATGCATGTTTAAAGGATAAAGACCAAAGAGATTCTCCATTGGCACACTTAACTAATTTGATCCAGACTGTGCTAGGACGTCACCTGCTAAGGTATAGAATGCCAGCTACCTGTTTTACCTGATTAAATATATATACTAGGAATTTCTTTCAACAAGAGAGTCCCTCTCACCTGAGCGGCCAGCTGATCTAGACTGAGTGTCCCGCTATCCAGATTACAGGGACTCACCTGAGTGTCCTGCTATCCAGATTTGAGGGACTCACCTGAGCGGCGAGCTGATCAAGACTAAGCGTCCCGCTATCCAGATTTGTGATCTGGGCGTCACCAAACAGAGACTCAGCTGAGGGGTGGGTGATGTATGCTGTCGTCCCGTCCTCCAACTGAATGGCTTGTAACCCCTCTGTAATAGACGAACATAATTCTCATTCAATTTGTTAATTTGTTACAGAGGGCTAAAGACTATATAGGAAAAATAAGCAACTGACACATAGAAAATCTGAGAAAACATTCAGCAGATGAAATGTATTGGAAAATTTGTCATAAATATAAGTAATACTGTACAGAGGGAAATTATTTCGCAGAGTTAATTTTTGCTATATTCGCGGAAAAAGAAATTCCGCAAATTCAACATACAGTGAATAATTCTTTAAAAGATTTACAAGTGATTTATAAGGACAAACTGGAATTTTATTATTTTCTGTGATTAGATATAGACTGTCTTTCTAATTATGCAAGTGTATGGATCAATTACAAACAAGTTTTTAAAGCTTATTAATTGTTAAATCAATTGCTATAGCTAACAATTAATTTTTCCATTTAGTAGACGTGCGATGTAATTATTTTATAAAACACCTGTGCGTTTCACTCAGTCATTACCTTTAATCACTTATATAGTAAACAGGGTAATGACAATTAATTAATTTTAATTAACCTTTTGGGGTGTGGTGTAGCATAACTGTATTAGTTGACCTACCTTTTGGGGTGTGGTGGAGGAATGCAGTGGTCCCGTCCTCTAGCTGGATTGGTTGACCTCCGACCTGGGAGGAATCGGTCAGTACAATGTTGGGATTGACCACACTGTCCATCTCGGACTGAATGTTGTTCACTGGCAACACTGAAAATTAATACTGGGTTAAGCTCAAGCTCACAAACTCATATCCTAATTCATACAAAATTTCTATTGAATATTTCATAAATTTTTTTTATAATTGATGAGTTTTACTTATTTATTCAAGCAAAAGTATTTCCTAATCAATTAAACTGGTATGCAAGCTCAAACTGGTTGTAGATATATCTTATTGTCTAATTAAGGGCAAGTCTCTCTGTTTACTAGTGAATCCTCTACACGTTACAAGACAACTCAGCTGACAGTGATGGTTACGAAGATTACAAGTCTACGCAGGTAAAACAATGGGGTAGGAGACTCAGCTCAGAATGATGATTACTGTACAAGGAATGGGATGGGTGGGACTGTGGAGGGTGGAGACTCACCGTGACTGACCCCCTGTACCACCGCTGTACTCCCGTCCTCCAGACTAATGGTCTGCCCCTCCATAAACTTCCCTCCTGAAAAACAAGGACAACTTAAAATACTGTCTCAGTTTGTTAGACATTATCTTTTAAAGTCAACGCTTGATATGCCATTTTCTTTATGATTTAGTCAAACTCTGCAAGACCATACCTTTAGGATGTTGTCACTTGAGGACCTTACCTTTGGGATGCTGTCACTTGATGACCTTACCTTTAGGATGTTGTCACTTCAGAACCTTATCTTTAGGATGTTGTCACTTCAGGAAATACCTTTAGGATGTTGTCACTTTAGGACCTTACCTTTGGGATGTTGTCACTTGATGACCTTACTTTTAGGATGTTGTCAGCTTAGGACCTTACCTTTAGGATGTTGTCACTTCAGGACCTTACCTTTAGGATGTTGTCACTTGAGGACCTTACTTTTAGGATGTTGTCACTTTAGGACCTTACCTTTAGGATGCTGAATGAAGGCTGTCGTTCCATCAGCCAGGGTTACGGCCTGGACGGTCTGAGTATCCAGGTGCTGCGGGACGTTGGTCGCCGGGGACTCTAAGGAGAGGTTACCTCCCTGTAAAAACAACAGTAACAAATTGAGGTCAAGACTAACTGTGGAAATGTCTTATCCAGCTGTGTTCATATTCATGATTATCTGTGCTAATTATCATGATTCTCTCTGTTTTAAAATTATCTGCATTAGTTAGCTAAATTAATGCCTCAGCGTAAAAACAATTTATCGGTGACAAATAAAGGTTTATACTGGCAGCAGAAATGTTCTTTTACAAATTTTTAGCACAAGTGAATAATTAGGTACCAA